TATATATATAGGTCAATATCACGTCAAAACACGTGTAGTTTCAACATGATGGAATGTTTTAATAGTTATTTTTCACATAGAAATGGCATCTAGGCCACTGTTTTGTGAACCGGTCTACGAATGGGAATGCCACATTGGATTATCCTTTAAGTACGTGTGTGGGATAATGTAAACTGAACATGATGGACACCTGTGAAGTTGTAACACAAACTTAAATGTTTGGTGTAGTCATTACTTTGGATACTTTGGATAATATCTCTCTTCCCATAAAAATGCAATAAATAAATTTGGCTTTGAATATTGCATTGAAAATTATGCCCAGCAAACTATCGAATCACTCATGTGCAAGCATAATAATATCACGTTTGTTTATTCATTTAATCAAAACCAAAAACAACACGAAGTTTGAACAAACATAAGAATATATCACGTTGCTTCTGTTACAGTGCACTATAAGATAAAATCATACTCTGAGTCACCATTTTTATCACCTGTGCCGAAAAATGACATGCGTGTGCGAGAAAAAATCGGAAGTTGCGTGAATTGTATCTGCTACTAATTTAAACCTAACGCGATCATGGACCCGGATGTTGAGTGATGGTAGATACCAAAGTCATTTTATTTACACGCAACGGATTTTATCATGCAGTTAATATATAAAAAAAAATGCTAGTTGAAAATCGTAGTCCTTGGTAAGAGTTCAATGCTGGAAGATAAAACAAATGGTAGTAAGATATCACCTGCTACAATTTTCTATACATATATGTATATCACATTTGTAGCAGCTTTCAACAATAATCATCGAGTTGATGCAGCAGCTCAATTCTGGATCTGGAAAAATGTTCAAACGAACGCATCATGATTAAGAGAGAGAGAGAGGAAGAAGGGAGTACCAGGCAGGTACTATAACTCAAGACGTACCTCATTACTTGGGTTCGTGGTTGAAACGTTGCTAGGAGATGAAAGACACTGTATTTGACCCAATATAATTTTACTTTCGCTATATTGTACTATAAACTATACTCATATATTTTATTTTATAATTTTTAATGTGTAAGTATTTATTCCAAGGCCTTACAGCAGCTTCGACCATAATGCGTTGGACTTTTTGAAGATTGTTCGGGACTTTGATATTTTTCTTATTTGCAGGTAAAACACATAATATGACACAAATACAAAAATAGGCGGTAAAATCTCACTATTTTTCGTTGTTTTTTTTTTAAAGCAGGGTACACTCCATAAAATACCCATGATGCCTCTATTTGTTTTCTCTGCTTCTCTACCGAAAATGGCGAAACAGTCTCATAGAAAACAGACGGACTCCGACTGAGGCAGCTGGCATAAAAATGCACTCGAAAATTGTGTGTTTTGCTGTTTATAAATACATTATATAGATTTTTTGTTCTTTTTCAGTCACTGTAAAATGATATTGTCCTCTGTAAAATATTATGTAATTACAATGAGTATACCTTGAGGCCGGAAGCCTGTATATTATGAATGAATTTATTTATTTATAAATACATTATATTATCGGTTTCTCTAGAGATTTTTTGAGTGGCGATATAGCGTAAACGAATTTTGGATTATGTACATGGAAGATTATATGAATTCTAAATAATGGTAACGGAAGGAGCTATCATAACGTACAATATCTTGTTTTGAACTCCATAAACCTACACCCAATACTGTGGATACTTTTCCTATTTGCGGTTAATGATATACATAATATGACACAGATACAAAAATTGGCTGTAATCTTACTATTTTCGTTTTTTTTTTTTTTTAAGCTGGGTCCATTCTATAAAATACACCAGCTGCCTTCGTATGTTTTCTTGGCTTATCTACCGAAAAATGGTGAAGCGGAGTAAACAGACGGCGGCAGCTGGGCATCTTCGCTAGCCAAGGTCTAAGTTTATTTGGCAAAGCCTCTAAACAGCCTCTATCGTCTAGAGGCATATAGGTCGAAGACACGGGACCGTGCGATTCGGACGATGGCAGCTGGGGTACACTCGTTGTTTGTTTTGTTTATAAATACATTCTATTATCGTTTCTATGGAGATTTTTGCGTGGCGACATAGCGTAAACAGATGTAATAATAATAATAATAATGTTCATTCAACCTTTGTATCGCAGCATGAAAACAGTAATACATATATTTAAATTACATTTATCATTTCTTTTCTATATTGCCATAAATCAGTTACATATTTCCCACATTTTCATTTATGTTCCATAGTGTATCACCAAAAAGGAAATTGAACCTATAATTCAACCCCCCTGAAAGAAA